CAAAGTGGCCCTTGTGGGATTTTTTTTTGTGTATGTGTGTGGAAAGAATTTTAGCTAAAATTCAATTTATGTAATATATAACCTGCATGTCTCTATTTCTATTTCTTTGTGAGTGTGCTTTGGTACTTTATGTCTTTCAAGGAATTTGTCCATTACATAAAAGCTGTCAAATACAGATCTTCCTCATCTTACGATGATGTAATGCCCACACAAACCCAGTGCAAGTTGAAAATATCATTAAGTCAAAACTGCATTTAATACAGCTAACCTACCAAACATTGTAGCTTTGCCTAGCCCACTTAAATATGCTTAGAATGCCTACATTAGACCATAGTTAGGCTGAACCATCTAACACAAAGCCTATATTATAATAAAGTTTTGAATATCTCATGTAATTTATTGACTGCTGTACTAAAAGAGAAAAGCACAACGGTTGTACGCGTACAGAATGGTTGTTAAGTGTATGGGTTCTTTACTGCCGAGGCTGTGTTGCTGACTAGGAGCACTGGCTTTTGCCACTGCCCAGCAGCAAGATGGTATTGTACTGCATTATGCTAGCTTGGGGAAAAGATCAAACATGAAAATTCAAAGTAAGGTTTCTACTGAATGCATACTGCTTTCACACCATTGCAAAGTTGGGGACCATCTGCATATTGGGATAATATTATTGGAAGAGACCACAGGAGCTTCACTCTAGACTAATTTTGCCCCAATAGTGTTCTGACTACTCAATCTGAAGCCCCATGAATTATGAGGTTATCTGCTCTGGCTAGTAGAATAAGAAGGGTTACAGGCTCTGTGTGCACTCTGAGGATGATTCCCTCAGATCTTTTCAGGCGGTTCTTTTCCCAGCCTTCATTAGTTTCCTTACACATTTGTGCTGATCAGTACTCAGATGAAAAACTTGGGTGGGATTCTGCAGATTTCCTGTGTTCTCTCTTATGCAGCTCTTTCCTTTCTGGTACTATGAATTGCAAACTGCAGCTATCTAGCTTTAGATTTCCTGAACTTCCAGCTCTGGCTCCTTAATTCAAAGAGACTCAACTTGGGTTCTTCTCTGTGCAATGGCCTGGAACTTCTCTCCAAGCGGTAAGTTGGGGTAATCACAGGGGTCATCTCATTTATTTCTTGTCCCACAAGGATCACTGTCCTTCATTACCTGCAAAGAGACAGCGCCTTGGTGGACAAGGCCTTTTTTTTTTTTAATATATTGAGGTTATCAGACAAGCTTTAAAGCATCATTACTATTATGCAACCCTATGAAAGGGAAAGTGGTATCAAGGCAGAAAATAAGAGCCCAAGTGCGTTTGGTTTTAGGTAAGTGTTGACATTTTGAGAATTTAAATCAAGCACAGTAGATCTGAGGAGTTTTTTTGATGGGAGGAGGGGGAGACAGATGAAACAATCCTATATATATTCCCTGAGAAACATATTTCACACCTCATCGCAATTTAGAAATAAATGTCCCCTTTTCCCCTAGAAAACCGAAGATAGTTTATGATTACTAGAATATTCAAAGAGAACAATGGGATAAAGATAAGATTAAACAAAGCTCAGAACACCATACTTGCTTTTTATAATCAAATATGGTATCACTGTTATTTATCCTTATTAAATTTCATCACTCAACTGATATTTCTATGACAATTTTTGAAAGTCTCATTTTGACATTCAAAGTACTTGCTTTTTGTTAACATGTTTCATTATTTGCATTCTCTGCATTTGCATTACCTGCAAATACAGCTTTATCCGAATCATTGATAGTTAACTTGAGCAAAGCTCAGGGTAAACACTGAGGCATAGCACTAGAAGTCTATTAATTTATCAGAAGACTTTCTGAGATTGGCTCAATAAAAATATCAAAAATATCTAACTGCCCTGTATCTAATATTTATTATTCTATAATCCATATTATGACAAATTGTCTCAAATATACCATACTCCCACTGTTAATTGGTCTGCTGTAACAGGTACTATGAATCTGCTGAAATGAATTCAAATGAATAGCAATCATACCAAAAAAGTAAAAAGTTATCCTGACATGACTTGTAGCCATGAAGAACTTTGTAATTTTACTACTTCCTTTTCTAGGTAGGGAAAAAGAATTTCTTTAATAATCTGCCTAAGTTCTAGTCAAACTTTAATTTTAGTCATTTGTAGAATCAATGATTTCTTAAAAAACTGTGGTAAAATATAAAATATAATTTTACTATTTTAATAATTTTAAGTGCTCAATTCAGTGACATTAAATATACTCACGATGCTGTGCAGTCATCACCACTATCCATTTCCAGAACTTTTCTGTCATCAAAACAGAAGCTTTGTACTCATTAAATAATAACTCCCAACTTTCTCTTTCCCCCAGTGCCTGGTAACCACAAATCTGATGTCTTCCTCTATGAATTTAACTATTCTAGGTATTTATGTAAGTGGAATTCTTACAGGATAAAACAATAGTTGTCTGCTTGTCTCTGGCTGATTTCACTTGACCCAATGTTTTCAAGGTTGATTCATGTTGTACCATGTATCAGAATTTCATTCCTTTTTAAGGCTGAATAATATTCCATTGGATGTATATATCAAATTTTCTTTATCTATTCATCTGCTGAAGAACACATGGTTTGTTTCCAATTTTTGGCTATTGTAAATAATGCTGCTAAACACTGGTAATACAAGTATTTGAATTCATTATTTGAAGTTTTCTGGGTTATACCTAGAAGTTGAATTGCTGGATCATATGGTAATAATTCTATGTTTAACTTTTTGAGGAACCACCAAACTGTCTTTCTGCAGCTGCACCATTTTATATTCCCATAAGCAATGCACAAGGGTTTTCATTTCTCTGCATCCTTGTCAGGACTTGTTATTTTCCATTTCTTGACAACAGCCATTCTAATGCGTGTCAAGTAATACCTCATTTTGGTTTCATATGTACTTGTCTAATCATTAGTGATGGTGAGTATCTTACCATGTGCTTATTGGCCATCCGTACATCTTCTTTGGAGAAATGCTTATTTAAGTCCTTTCACCATTTTTGGATTGAGTTGTTTTCTTATTGTTGAGATACATATTTTGGTTATTAATCCCTTATCTGATATATTATTTGCAAATATTTTCTCTCATCCATGGGGTGTCTTTTCACTTTCTTGATAATGCCCTTTGATGTACGAAACTTTTCAATTTTGATATAGTCCAACTTTTTTTTCTGTTGATTGTGTTTTTGGAATTTTTTTCCCCAAAACAATTGAAGACAACTTTGATATCATCTGCATTTTCTGCAAACGTAATCATTCTTGGGCCTCTATTCTTTTCTATTCTCCTATGTCTCTGCCAAACCTTTAGCATTATTTCCTGGTTATATAAGTGCTTTCCATCTTTTTTACATGTGTTTTACAAATGTGAGCTCTTATTAAAGAGTTTTCTGTGTGCTCTGCAATGTTTTTTTTTTAGGCTCCTCTTCATTTTCTTTTTAATTAAGGTTTCATTTGAGATTCTAAAGTCAGAATTGAATTTTTGATGGTATTCAATCCTCTCAAGTTGTCTTTACATCTAAAATCTCATTCCTTGGAATCATATTTATCTATTAAAACAGCTTTAAAGTTTGTCTTCTTAAAATCTAGAGTATATATTAAGTATTGCTATTCTAATTTTTCCTGACAGTAAAGAACTGAGTTCAAGTATCAATTTCTCCTAATGATTCTCAGACCACTATACTGAGGATGTTATTTAAAGAGGTAGAGTAGGACTTTTACTAGGTACTTCCTTTACCCTTCAGAAAATAAAACTGGCAATAGGGAAAATGTAAAACAAAAGATTTTAGTCAAATGAGACTTCTATTTGAACAGATAGATACCTGGGAGATCAAGGTTTTTACAACTGTTTCTTGCCATTTTGTCACTTTGTGAATCAACAAAAATGTAGCATTTTCTTCAACTGGTTAGTGCCTTTAAAGATATTCACACCATACTATTTCTACAAATAACTCATAAACTATTTCCAGCTCAAAATTTATGTTACTCTAGGCAGACATCACAGTTACCTTATTTAGATACAAAATCAGTGAACATAATCAAACTATGTTAGGACCATAGAATTTGAATCAGAAAGGGATAATTAATACAACACCTTCACTTTACACATAAAGACTATGGCATTCAAGTCAAGTGATACTGCTCAGGTCACATGAAGATACACTAAAAGTCTCTCTTTCTCTCTCTTTTTTCTTATTTCATGGATTTTTAAAGTCTACAGGTTAGAAAGAAGCCATGAATGTTACATAAGCAAAAAAAGTTATTTTCCACTAATTTATAATGAAAGTATATTCTTGGTAAAAAGAAACAGCTGCAAAAGTTTAAATGAACCTTCACTTCAACACCTTCAAATACAACATACAAATATTAGGAAAAATGATACTATTAATAAAGAAATTTAATACAAATCACAATAATCCAACATTTTACTCATATCTTATTAAGTTAAGTTAGACTCAGACTTTGAAGAGGTACTTAACTTCATAAAACATTTATTTTAGTTAGATGTTCCTTACCTTAATTCATAAAAATTTCGTAAGAAAAACATTATTTTCCTGGTCAGAAAACAAATTAGTTGATGTCAAGAGCTAAGGAGGAGGCAAAGGGTTGACTGAAAGAGGTGATGAAAATGTTTTTTATCTTGCTTGTGGTCATAGGCACATGACAAGCAAGTATTTGCAAACAAAAACTCACAGAAATGTACAATAAGAAGAGTGAATTTTACTATATGTAAATTATAAGCCTCAATGATCTAACTCTTTAAAAGACCAATTTTTTACTATGTAAGAAATTAGTATATTCTGAAGGAAATATTGAAAATACTGAGGTAGAGTGGTCTAAATTGAGGCAGTTTTACTATGTAATTCTCAAGAATTTTACGCGAATATTTAGGTTATTTATATATTTCTAAACATATGCACAAACCAGAAACCAAAACAACCAGGTAGTTTTATAAAAAAAGTAACTCACCGTCTCATTTCCAAAAAGTATGTCAACATAAGGCATAACTTTCATCAACGGTTCTTTGAAGAACTGACTAATAAATGGTGCAGACAGATTCAAAGTGAAAATTCTGTTATTTTCAGAAGCATGGCGGGCCACTTTTAATACGGACTCCGGGGAAACTGTGAGAAAAAAACCCTGGATAAAGAAAAAAAGGAAGGAAATCAGAAGTGCAATCTCCACAGAGTCACTCTCAGTGAGAGTAAAAGAAATCTACACAAAATACAAAAGCCCACATAACATAAACTTTAATAATACAGTTATAAGATGCAAGGCAAAAAACAGCAGCATTTGATTGAGAGAGAAGTTTATCATATGAGTACTATATGCTTGACGTGTGCCATTCTATCAGAGAATAGGACGTTATTTATTTCATATTAGATTGCTATACTCAAAACTGAAAGATTTATAGGAATCTACGTTAAAGAAGTATCTGAAATGTTTCATTCAGGACAATAATTACTTTTAAATTAGAGTAATAGTAACAAAGGCAGATTGGATCTTTATAGCTCCTTACAAATAGTTTAGATTCTTGTAAGTGACTTGGTATTTACTTAAAAATGCAATTAGCTTACTAATATCATAGCTTGTTACTTTATGAGACATCTATATTGAATTAAAAAAATTTTAGGGGGGTGTGGAGAAGGTAATCTGATAGACTGATTGATTGATTGATTTAAATGGCAGGGATTGAACCCTGGGGACTGAACCCAGGACCCAGTCATGCACTCTACCACTGAGCTATATCCTCTCCCCTATACTGAATTTTTAAGGAAGATTCTGAATTAGAATTTTCAAATAATGAGAAAATAATTCTGTAAGGAAACAGAAAAATATTTTAATTAAAATTTCATTGAGGAAAGCTATCTTTTAAAATGCTATTTACCTATATCTTAAACATTAGTAAAAGTCTTTAAAAAATATACATATATATGCTTTCTAGATGAAAGAAAGTAAAAAAAGACATGGATGCTTATGTAAGAATTTAGTTTATTTCGTTTTTAAAAAATTTTATTTTGGGGGGGAGGTAATTAGTTATATTTATTTAATGGAGGTACTAGGGATTGAACCGAGGACTTTGTGCATGCTAAGCAACTGCTCTACCACTGAGCTATAACCTCCACCTAGGGATTTAGTTTAGATGGTGCACAAGTGAATGATGGAGCACACAAAGAGCAAAGGAAGATAAAATTTGAAAGGTCAGCTGAGTTAAGTACACAAAGGACCCTGAGTGGCGGGTCAGGAGTCTATTAGGTGGGGTGAGGATGAATGATGGGTAATGAAGTTTTCCTTGTAAGAAAAGAATAACAAGCTTATAGAAGAATTCAGAGGAAGGTTAATCTGGACAGCAACAGTCAATAAAAGCCTGCATGTGGCTCTGTGTAAGGAAATAATACTGGGAGTATTACATACTGCACTTAGTACCTGATTAAGATGTGGGAGACAAAGGAGAAAAGAGTCCAAAGATTACTAAGATTTTGAATCTGGTTCTACAATTAAGAGAAACAGAAAAACCCAGATGAAGACCTGGCTTAGGCATAAAAGAAAGTCTGTAGTTGTGATCACACTACATTTGAGATATTAAGGGACCTCCAAATATTTATCAGAAAGTTGGACTCAGGAGAAAGGCTGTGGAAGAAGGTGATGGTAAAAGGGGAGTTGTAATTACCAAGAAAGAGAATGAAGAAAAACAAGAGGGCAAAGGACAGAATTGGGAGAAACAAAAACCAGGGAAGAGAGGAAAGAGAAAAAGTAAAGGAGAGTCCAAGAGAAAGGCAAATGGCAAGAGTAGAAGGACTGAGCAAAAATCACAGGATTTGATGATTAGGAGAAAGTACTTATGGTATCAAGGTAAAGTCAGAGAGTTAAAAAAAATGGTGAGAAAGTAAGGGTAAGGATTATAAATTCTTTAGGGATCTTTATCATTGAATAATAATTGAAGCATCTGAAATTTGCTGAGCAGTTCTTACATTTCAGGCAAAGCTCTATGTATATTCAACTTATTCATCACTTTTTCCTTACGTCAAACCTATGAGGTAGATACCGTTATTAAAAGAAGGCAAGATAGGAAGGTCAAGAAATGCTTCCCAGGTCATACAGCTTATATGTGATAGGGCTTGAATTCAAATGACTCCAGAGATAACAGCTTTACTTTGAAAAGACAATAGAGAAGAAAACAAGAGAAAGATATTTTTAGTGAGAGAAGTAGAGTGGGAGAGTTGTTTTTAGGAGGGAGAAAATTCCAGCATTTTTGCTTTTCAATGAAAAGGATCTAGTAGAGAAACAGAAGAATGAAGTGGGGGCTGGAGGGGGGGGGGAGCGGAGAGGAGATCATTAAACAGAGCAAGGGACCAGAGGAAGTGAGAGCAATGGGAACCAGAAGGAAAGAGCTCGCTTATAAACGTGAGAAACAACCATCAAATATAAAAGAAACTTATTTTAAAAGTTATAAGAAAGCTATTGAAAGATTCACTTATAACTGAAGGACTAACCACTTCCATCATGCAAACTCAAAAAATTTAAAGAGACAAGATTTTTTTCCATTATTTTCAAACTTCAAACTGAATATTAAAATACTAAAATATTAATTTTGTGGCAGGAGTCATGTGTTCTGGGATCCATGTTTGAAAGGGTTATTGCTCTTTTAAGTCCTGAGATATTAAGAGAGAATTTTAAACTGTAATTGTCTCTTGGTAAAGTAATGCTAATGAAATTCTAATAAAAACATTTCCCAATCACAATAATATGAAATTGTCATCATTTAAAAATTCTAATCCAAATTCTTTACTGATATCCAACTGTTCTAAAAGTAGCAGATCTTAGTATTACGTAAAATTATTTAATGTTTTCATTTTACTTTTTTAACCAAATACTATGTCACTTGCGAACTATGATCATCCAAGCTGCTTTGCTATTTCTGTCACTTGGAGAACTAAAATGAACAGTTTATACAGCGTCTTGTCTCCATAGTAATACGTATGTACTTGCTTTTTAGTTTCCATTTAATGAGGAGAGTTTAAAAGTCCCCCTCTCCTTATTTCTCCCCAAACAGTTTCAGCATGAAATAAAAACCTCCCAGAGCTAGCTTTCTGCCAGCTGTGGATTAACCACAGACAGCCATAGAATGGTCTACATAAATAGTAACCTGGTCAAATAATTAGGCTTCTCACCAACTTCAGACTGAAAATTTGATCTGTGCTAAAATACATCTGATTGTAATTTAAAGTATAGAACAGTATGCCCCTGAGTCTAAATTTGGCCTCATTCCAAATGTGTGTATGTTGTATGTGTGTTTTACTTTAAAATGCAACAAAGAGTATTACGATGTGGACAGTATAACTTCCTTTTGTGAATTTTACAAAGAATATACAAAGAAAAGATCAGCTTTTAAATAGGGCAAATTCACAATTCAAATTAATTCCATTTTTGAATAATCTCTTGTTTCTCTTCAGGTAAATATTTAGCATTTAAACAATTTAGGATTTGTGCTCTGTTTGAGTGTGAAGACTTAAAATTGATGCCAATCATAATTTTTCTTCTAGATTTATACCCTTTGCTAGGCCACACATTCCAGACTACTTTATCACCAAAAATAAAAACAGTACCACTATAACATTTTTTTCAAGTGTCAGGTTTGTAATAAAAACAGGCCAATAGTTTATACAGCTATAGTTTAGAAAAATACTTTATATAATCAACAAAATCTTGTGATTTTCTAATCACAGATTTCAGTTAACACAACAGTTAACCCTGCCACTCTTTGGCCTGACAAGCGCCCACAAGCAAGGCAGATTCTAACAGTAAGAGGCTGGACAAGATTAATCAGAATTGAGGGTGAAGTAAGATAATTTTATCCATTAAAATGGAAACCAAAACAACACAAAAAGACAGGAGTAAAAGGGACGGGGAAAGAGCAAGGTAGAGTTGAAGAACTACTTTAGCAGAGCCAGACTTAAAGCTTGGAAATCCCAAGTAATAGATTTGTCATTCAACCACTCTCAGGATTTCTCAGGGTAGTTTAAAGGAAGAAGAAATAAAAGTCATCCAATTTGGAAGGGAAGAAGTAAAACTCACTATTTGCAAATGACATAATACTATATATAGAAAACTCTAAAGTCTCCACCAAAAAGCTAATAGAACTAAAAAATGAATTCAGTGAAGTTTCAGGATACAAATAATACACAGAAATCTGTTGCTCTTCTACCCACTCATAATGAACTATCAGAAAGAGAACACAAGAAAACAATCTCATTTAAAATTGTATCAAAAATAAAATACCTAGAAATAAACTTAACCAAGGAGGTGAAAGACCTATACCCTGAAAGAAACTTCGAATTGCCAAAGCAATGTGAAGGTGTGGAGCAACAAAGCTGGAGGGATCATGCTCCTTGGCTTCAGACTATACCACAAAGCTACAAGTAATCGAAACAGTAAAATACTGGCACAAAAACAGACACATAGACCAATACAATAGAATACAGAGCCCAGAAATAAACCCACGTGCCCATGGTCAATTAATCTACCACAAAGGAGGCAAGAATATACAATGTAGAAAGGCACTCTCTTCAAAGGTGTTCCTGGAAAAAGTGGATAGTTACATGTAAAAGAATGAGATTAGAACGTTCCCTCATACCATATACAAAATAAACTCAAAATGGATTAAGGATCTAAACGTAAGTCCTGAAACCATAAAACTCCTAGACAAGAAAAATCTGCAGAACACTCTTACATTTCTCCAAACAAGATGTACAGATAGCCAACAGGCACATGAAAAGATGCTCAACATTGCTAACTATCAGAGAAATGCAAATCAAAACACAATGAGATAACACCTCACACCTGTCAAAATAGCTATCATCAAAAAGCCTACAAATCACAAATATTGACAAGGATGTGGAGAAAAGGGAACACTTGTACACTGCTAGTGGGAATGTAGTTTGGCACAGACACTGAGGAAAACAGTATGGAAGTTCCTCAAAAAACTGAAAATAGAACTACCATATGATCCAGTAATTATAGTGCTGGATACATATATCTGAAGAAAATGAAAACAGTAATTTGAAAAGCTACATGCACCCCGATGTTCACAGCAACACTATGTACAATAGTCAAGACATGGAAGCAACCTAAGTGTCATT